TCCCCAATACAACATATTAAAATGGTATTGAGACATTTTAACCAAAGGGCAAAAATTAGACATGAACTGTGGGCAAACTGGAATAGCAGGATAAACGTGGAGTAGATTAGATTTTTCCAAGTTCTCCAGTCCTGGGAAACTTTTTTGTGGGTCAAAACCACAGCTTCTGCAGCTTCTAAGGGAAAAGAACATCCCCCTCCCCACCTCTGCCAACCCCTCTAGAAAAAGGAAAAGGTGGCTCTTAATATGTTGGTGATCACAAATTTCAACTGTTTTCAATTTGGGGCAAGGGGAAAAAGGAGCCTGTCCCCGCTGCGGACCCACCCATCCCGAGCTCATCTGCACATCCATGGCGCCATCTCTTTCCTGCTGGGTCTGCCTGATGCCGGCCTTCCTCCCAGCTGCTCTCTCTGCCTGGAATGTCCTCCTGGGATATCTGGGTGGCAACTCCCTCATCCCTCAAGCCCGACCGACCAGAAGCCTGCCCCCTCCCCCATCGCCTTTCTCTGCTCCACTGTTCCCCAGGGCATCCTCACCTCCTAAGCTACCCTACAGGTGACCCGTGGTTGTTACAGATCATTGTTCCCCCAGATGCTCATCTTCCCTGGGCAAGGGCCCAACTCCGGGCCCCTGGGGCATCCGCACGCCTAGACATGGGCCCGGCACAGAGCAGCCCGCCAGCAATGCTGAGTGTTGAAGGAATAAACACTCTGGTCCCAAGTTGTAATGCGTAAGATTTTGGGAGGCAGCAGACATCTTCAGATTTTTCTACTGCCTATGTTTAGTTCTCTTCTGGAATATTAATAACTAGCAAAAATTGCATGAGTTTGCTCAGGCTGCTGTAACAAAGTATCACAGAGCTGGCAGCTTAAACAACAGAAATGTCTTCTCTCCCAGTTAGCTTCTGAAATCGTGAAATCGGTTGGAAAGCAAAAGGCACTGGGGGTGCGGACGCCAGTAGGATTGTTTTCCTTACTTCAACTCTATGGCCTAGTCTATTCCTGACAACTGCAGAAACCTACCTGAATGGATAAGAAGACTAACTTATGTGAATTCTGTTTCCTGTGGTTTGAAAAACCTCAATGAGCCTCGTGCTTCAGCAGCTGCTGCCCCACGTGGCAGCAGATACCCAGGCTCATGTGGCCCGAATGACATTCCGTGGACATTCACTCATCAGAGAGTCAATGCTGGGCCAAGAAAATCGATTTGGAAAATGGGCTGTTTCTGCAAGATGGCAATTACCTACAGCTGCCCCAGCTGATGAGCAGTGCCAGGAGCTGAAATTAATCAAAAATCAAATGAACAAAAATGTCTTTCTCAACTTTATTAGGCCCCAAAGCCATTTTCATGGACTGTCAAAATCTCAGTAAGAAGAAAGAAAAAAGGACTGGAAGTCCTTTTTGATAGGCAGTTACCTCAGAGGTTGGATGAAATCATATCTGTATTTTTAGAAAGAAGGTAATAAAAAGTCTGGAGATTTTCAGGGACCTGCTGAATGTTCACTATGTCAGGAAGGGTGCAGGGGGCGTTCCCACTCTTTGAGGCTTGTTTCCATGACAGTTCTGTAAGGTGGCAGGTTCCCTTCCTGTGGCTGCTGAAACAGGTCACCACCGATTCAGTGGCTTAAAGGAACACGTATGTACTCTCTTAACAGCTTTGGAGGTCAGAAGTCTGCAGTAGGTCTTGTGGGGCAAAAATTACAGTTGCTGGTAGGGCTGGCTCCTTCTGGGGCATCCAGGGGCAAATCTGTTCCCTGCCTTTCCCAGATGAGGATACGACCGTGTCCCTGGGCTCGTGGCCCTTCCTCCCTCTTCCAAGCATCAGAGGCATCTCTCCACCTTTGCTTTTTCTCTGACTCTGACCTCTTGCCTTTCTTTCACTTATAAGGATGCTTGGGATGACCTACGCCCGCCTGGACAGTCCAGGATCACCTCCCCATCTCAAGAGCCTTAACTTCATCACATCTGCAAAGCCCAGCACCACCACCCCCGCCCTTGTCATGTAAGGTGACATATTCGTGCTTCCAAGAATTAGGATATGGACATTTCGGGGGGCAGTGTTCTGCTTACCACAAGTGGGCATAGGAAGGTCCATTGTAAAGATGAGCAAATAAATTCAGAGATGTTGAGCAGTTCTATCAAGCCTGCTCAGCTGGTATACGGATGCTCAGGGTTTGACATCAGAGCTGTCAGGTCCCCCCAGCACCCTGCTCCATCTCAGACTCCCAGCCTCATGCTGGAGTTCATCTCAAGGGATTCCAGAGATTCGGATACAGGCTACCATTTTAAGGACTGTTCCCAAAGGACCATTCTGCATCTCCAATTCATTGAAAAGATAAGCTGGGAGGGGATGCAGATGACTGGGGACACCTACACAGGGTCAGGGGAAATGCTGCCCAACACACTTCCCATCCTCTCACCTGGCTAAGTCCTGCTGGCCCTTAGCTCTCCGCTTCCTGGGCCCCTCTTCCAGGAAGCCCTCCTGGAACATCTCACAGGAGAGTTCACCCCAGTGTACACGTGGTAGGTGTCTGTTTCTGGGTCTTTCTCTCTACTTCACAACTTCCTCACTGGTGACCTCCTAGCATAAGCCTGATGTGGGTGGCCATCACTGCTTGTGGAATGAAAGAATGTGCGAGTGAATCTACCATCAGAGCTTGAAGCCGCCACTCCCCCCGTGGGCCCACAGGGGGTGTCTGTGCCTCTAGAACACATATGATCCAAATGACTGTGGTCACCAGGACCCAAACTTGAAGGCAGCAGCAGCCAGACTGCAGAGACTGCGACTCACCGCTCTGATGTTAGGAAGAAGGTCCTCTCTGCCTCTCCCAGGAGGGTCCAGCCACCTACCCACCTACCACTTCCAAGGAATACCTTGTCAAAAATTGTCAGCTTTTAGTGAGGATGATCTGCCAGCCAGAGATAGGGGATTGGAAAGAGGGGTTTCTGGAGTCAGGGACACTGAGCTTAGAAGCCTCACCACCCCTCATTTGCTCCTCTTTCTACTGGGGGACAGCCAGGCTTTCAGGAGGCATGTGGCATCCATGACACCCACATGAAGCACTTTCGGGTCCTGTGTAGCAGCAGGGGCCCTACATGGCTCCCCTCACCCTCTTAGCTTCCAGTGCGCTGGCTGCGTGACCCTGGGGAGGTCATTCCTGTGGCACTTGGTCTCCTCACCTGTCAAAGCATTGGCAGGGGCCCTGTGACAGCCTGCTCTCCATGGAGATGCTCGCCACAGCCTCATTTGAAAGGACAGATAATGGGAACTGCCTGTGCAGAACAGAAATAGTTAACATTCAGAGAGGGCACGCTGGCCGGGCGCTGCCTACTGCTACCTGTGCTCGCGTCTCATCCTCACCTTATCCCTGGGAGGCGGGGGCAGTGCCCTGAGCATGAAAATGGGGAGACTGAGCCACATTTTGAAGTTGTTGAACAGCTTCCCTGGGGTCACAGGCTCAAAAGAGAGGAGCTGGGGTCAGAATCCAGGCTGTGAAGCTCTGCCTAGAGGCTCTCAACAACGCCCACCGTCTGTAGCCACCAGCTAAGGAAATGACCGTAGGACCCGTTTTTGAAGAATGACAGAGCTTGCACAACTAGTGTCAATTCAGAGGGGCGAGATCTGCATACTTTTCTGTATATATGTTATACTTCAGGAAAGTGCTTCTGAAACAATGAATAATAAAATGGGAAGTTCATCTAAACAAAGCAGGTTAGAATTGGTACATAGAATAGGATGACTACTGTGTAAGAATAAAACGTATGTCTGTGCGGAGAACAGACAAGGAGAGATTATGCCAAACCTCCTTGGGCAGTATGATCGTAGGTAATTTCTTCTTTTTTTTTTTCTATTTTTCTGAATCTTACAAATTGTCCCTAATAAGCTTGCGATGATTTCTTATAACAACAAAATACCTCACCAACCTCCCCCCCACAAAACCCCTGTAATTTGCCCATCATTTACATTCCAGACTGTACTTTTCCACTGATTAATGTAAAAATTGATAATAATGATTGAGTGGAATCTGTAACACAAGACAAGAATTTTGTGACACTTCCAGCATGCGTAATATTGAAATATTTTTCCTCTAACAAAAAGACTGAATGGAAGGAGGAGGAACCTGGACATCAATCGTCAACACTTGTATGACATCCATTTCTAAAAGCATCTCGTTAGAATGTTCTGTCGTAAGCCAGAAATGTGACCGGAAGCCTCTGCCTATCGCACTGACATCAACCTTAGTGCAGGTCAGTAAGCGAGAGCGGGAACAAAGGAGCTACTTCGAGGTCAGAGAATGCCACTCTGATTCTAGCCCTCCTCTCCTTTGCAGGGAGGCCCCATCATGCACTATGTGCCTGAAATGTGAGGCACAGACTGCACACCTACAAGTTGGAAGAGACATGAGCATCGCATAAAGAGGGAACCAAAACGCAGAGATGTTGAGTGCATTGTCCAATATCACACAGCCAAGAAGTCCTGGAGCCAGGATTCAAAATACTTGTACAATTTCTGCTGGATTCTGAAGTCTCCCAACTTTGCTTCCCCTCTAGACATTTATTTTCCATGTGAAGGTTGAGAAAGAGTAATGAACCCTATCTCTTCTTAGGGACATTTTTGCTCATTAGTATGGTAAAGTCACCCTGTCTATTATACCAATCAACTGAGATGTCTTTTCTCCTCTTCTTTGCCTTGCAAACTGCTACCTGTATAAGGTGGGAAGATGACAGCTAATGGGTTTGACATATTGTTAATGCCATGGCAACAGGCCTTAGGTTCACGGGAACTCTGATAAACGGAAGATAGTGGAGGGGCTAATAGAGTCAAGAATATTTTCTACATGAGCAAAACATCCATGATGAACTGCATGATAAGCTTCTAAATCTCAGAAACCTCCGAGTGACAAAGGGCGTGCTCCTTTAAAGGCATGCCGGTTTGCTGGCAGATGCCCTGCGGCGTCCAGTACCCTCTGTGAGGTTCCCAGGAATCACCTGTGTACTTACAGAGAAGACGGCAGCCAAAGTCTCAATGCCCCCAGTGCTCAAGGTGATGTATGGGATCTTCTCTGGAGGAATCCCAGCTTTTCCAAAGATACTGTTGGTATAGAACCAAATCTATAATGCAGGAAAGAAAAAGAAGGGAGGAGACGGGAGAGCGGCATCAGTTTCCTCAAGTAAATTCGCTGCTAAATCCAGTTTCAAGGTGGAGCCACTTGGCATGGCTGACCACTTGTTTTCTCCCTTCTCCCACATTTCCCACCTCTTCATTATGAACAGAACTCCTACATTACTGAGAGCAACATGTGTTTGGCCTTGTGCAGCAATGAGAAAGAAACAAAAGTGTTGGTGGAGCTCCAGGAAGTCTCCTTAAAGTGAGCTTTCACCAAGGAGGTGTGATTTCATTTTTTGCCCTTCCCCCTTTCTGCTGTCAGGATGGTGAATATGATGGCTGGAGCTTCAGCAGCCTCTTTGGATTGCTAGGTGACCTCAGGACAGCACAGTTATCAGCCCTGATGGCAACTTTGTGAGAATTAGAAAAAGTTCCTGACCCATAGGATACTTTACTGTTATCTACTGGAATATTGCCATACTAAAATTGCCACAATAGGCACAATATGAATGATGCTCTTAAGAGTTATGCAGTATACAACCTAAATAAACTACACATAGAGCCCCTGCCTTGGGATGAAAGCTACCTGTTCAGGTGCTGGAGCAGGACGTTAGAAGGAGCCTTCTACTTACTCATTAGAGTGATTCCATATAATTAATTATCCAAGCCTGGGCACTTTTGACAGTGTTAACAATTATTCTAGGACAACAGGCATAAATCAGGACTGCCCTGTGCGAACCAGCATGTGTGGCCCTGGAGCTGCTGTGCCAGCCCTCCTAATTTCCTCCGTGTGCAACTAGGTCACAGTTGAGGTTTCTGCCACATAATGGCCCAACCTAATCCTAATAGACACTTACAGGGCTCCAGACAATCATTGTTTTAGAGTTTGGAGATGTGGCTCCATCATGACTAGCTGAGTGACCTCAGGCAATTCACTCCACCCTGCTGAGATTCCTTCTCCAATTCTGTCAAAAGAAGATACCCATGCCCTTGCTGTGACATGTCAGCAACTGGGTAAGAATTGTCACTGTTCATTATTTACTTAAACTGTTGGATCAATAGGCTGGACACAGATTATTTGTGTTCTCCCAATCCCAGCCACTTCTTACAAAGCAAAGTTTGCTGAACGAGGCAAAGCCATGCACTCCGAATATGAAACCTCACGAGGAGACCCACTGCCTTGACGGGCCTTGAAAACATTTACAAACTGATTGTCACTAAGCAGAAATATTAGAGCTCGTTGCTCATAACGTGTCAGGCTTGGCCGTGGCTCGGCGGCTCATAGCCTTTGGTTTTTTCTTCCTTTCTGGAGAAAGCTCTTGTTTCTACTAACTTGTCTTGTTACCAGCATTTGTTTTACAAAATCATTTCATGCACTGGGGGAGAATATATCATTTAGGACCTACTCAGAGCTACAGAAAGTTTACTTTTAATGAAGGGAGTCATTTATCATAAAGTCATGGGCACACCAAAGACTCCAGTAAAAACTACTGCACACATTTCTTTTGGCTCATGGGCACGGAAGCCTCTGTTGGAAAACTGGGTTGTCATGTTCATATGAAACAAAGTCACTCCTGCTTGCATCTCCTCTTGCTTGAGTGGCTGAGGAATTCAAATTTTAGATTCCATCTTCGCTGTGACAGCCAGAGAGCATAGGAGTGGCTCCTGACAGATTCACTAATTCTTCTGGCTCTTAGAGCTGTGACAGAGGCCAGCATTATTCCCCAAACCCTGAGTCTCCATTGAATTTGTTCATATAATCTCCTCCCCTTATGAAGGTAACTGATCCCTGGCACATCTTCAGGGGCTGATCAGAGATTAAGTGCCTTTCTTCATCCAAATTTACTGATTTCAATAGCCAAGGGTCTCTATGGACCCTTTCCAGCTCCCAGGCTGCCCTGCTGCCACCCCATGCAAAGGTGGATCTGACGTTGTGCTGTCCTGAGCCTCAGTTCTGAACCCCACATTCTGGCCTGCTCTTGTTCTGGAGGCTTCCACGCTTGGGCCCCACTGGCTGTGTGTTCTGCAGGGGAAGCTGTGCTCTGGCCCCACACACGGTGCTCCTTCCCGGCCTCCCACCCACTCCGACCCCCTTTCTCCCTTGCTTCCAATTCTCAGCAGCAACCCCGCCTTGGGCATCCCTCCCAGGTTTGAATGTTAGCAGAGAGTCATCGTGCATAAAATTACATGCTCATCAGGGGCGAGTTAGTGATAAAAGTATCTCTGCAGTCACCTCATATGTAAATGCACTTAGGCATCCACAGGCAAAAATCAGCCCTTTAGACGCTCTTCCCAAGCCCAGGGCTTGTACAGAGGTCGTGCTGGGCTGGGGAAGGCCTGCCTATCTATCACACGAACTGCCAGGCTGATTCCGCTGGTGCCAGGAGACCCCTTCCCTGGCCTCACATCATCTTACAGAGGCGGCAGGTAACTGCCTCTGCCCCTGATCCCACTGCATTTGGTTTGAGGGTGTTGTACAACATGGAGTCTGGAGTGTGGCCGCAGGGGACCCTGCCATGGAGTTTGCTCAGTGTTGGCCTCACCCCAACACAATTGGGCTCCACTGAGGAGGACGGTGGAGCGCAAGGAGCACAGTCCCGGAGGCCCACGGTCCTAGATTCCAGCCGGTGCTGCCTCTCGGGAGCTGGGTCTGTAGGCAAGTGACTGCACGTCTCTGAATCCCCACCGTCTAAAAGGAGGGAATGCTATGCTGCCTTTCAGGGTTGTTGTAAACATTTTTTAAATGATGACGTCAAGCATCTTTCATATAATTGGTGCACACCAAATGCTGGGTATCATTGCAGAAGTCTTCCGTCCCTCTGCTGAGATGCGACTGCTCCTTGGTAAAGGGAAAGACCAGCTATGCACAGCACGGGGAGAAACACCTCTGCATCTGCTTCTCAGCGGCTCCTCCCAGGGGCTGGGCCTGAGCGGGACTTTGCAGGGGGGCACAGGGAAGGGCGCACAGTCGTCTCCACACCCTGCCTCTAACGCCCTGAAGCTCTCCTTCTTAACTCATGACATGTGTCTTAGAGACAAAGTGTAACACGATCATCCCTTCCAGGCTGCTTGTGAGGGTGGCATTGCCTAAGGGCTGGAGAGACCAGCCAGCCAGCAAGGCCGGAGCAGGATGCGGCCCAGGCCTGTCAGCGCCCCGAGTGCGGTTCGGGGCTCCGGGCAGTGCTGGGGCTCGAGCCCAGCTTGCCGACCAGATTCCTATGTATTGTTCGCCCCAACTCCCGTATGCCCACGGCCTTGACTACAGTCGCCTTTGACCGAGACATGCATGTTAATCTCTGTCTGTGCTTCAGGAGCCATGAAACTGCGGACCTGCCTTTGCCCAGATAAGGCGATACTGACCCAGAGAAGGCTTAGCCTGCACTCGCGGGATGTGCCAGGAGGGCGCTGGTTCCCCAGAGGACGGCGTCCTAATCCCTGGAACCCGGAACTGTGTTACACTGTGTGGCAAAAGGGACTTTGAAGATGTGAACGGTCCTGAGATGGAGACGTGATTCTGGATTACCCAGGTGAGCTAAGAATGTAATCACAAGCGTCCTTACAGGAGGGAGGCGGGAGGGGCAGAGGTCAGAGAGAGACTAGGATGGAAGCAGAGGTCGGAGGAGTGAGAGACAGAGAGCTGGAAACACGGAGGGGCCCCCACAAGCGAATGAGATGCGCAGGACCTATTCTGAAGTACAAGGACCTGAGGCGACCGCCATTCACTAAGCACTGTGTCCCGGGAGCTGTGCCGGCGCCCCACCTGCTGTCGGGCAGCGTCTCCTTTCCCTTCGTTTCCAGTTCCCATTTGGGGCACCCGCTTCTCTCAGCCCGGGAACAAGCGGGGCAGGCGGGGAGGCGGCCTCCGTGGAAGGAGATCCTCTGCGCTCACGGGCCTCCCCTTAGGGCTCTGTGCACTCTTTCCAGGGGGAAGCCTGGGTCCCCTCTGCTCTCACCATGCAGGGGGACCTGTCCGTGGGTCGGGCGTGCAGGGTCAGGGTGGGCGCCTGAAACCTGGGAGTGCAGTAACCCACACTTCTGAAGTCGCCCCCTCTCGTCCAGCTCCACTTGGAGGGGGGCTGACATTTTGATCCCCATTTGCATCCTGTGCCAATCTCTAATCCGTTCTGAATTTCAGAGGGGAAGACAGGGGGGCCTATGTATGGTACTTTCCAAAACTATTACCTACATGACCCAATTTCCTCCTTGCGGCGCCCAGGGAGGTGGACATCTTACTCCCATTTAGCAGATGAGAAAACTGAGGCACAGCCAGGTGAGGGCTACAAGGCCAGGCGGGGTGGAGCTGCGAGGTCAGCTCAGTCGTTCCACCCCTCTACTGCCTCTGGGTGAGAGGGCGCCTGACTTCTCTGAGATGGAACAAGACAGGTGATCAGTTGGGTGGAGCCGATCTGAGAGGTGGGAGGGGGCAGAGGGCACCCTGGGAAGGGGTAACAACAGGCAAGCAGCAAAGAAAAGCAGATCTTCTCGGAGGGAAAGCCCAGACCCTAGTCCTCAGCACAGCTGCTCCCTCCAAACCCCAGGCTGACGTCAGGCCTCATTCTCAACAGGACTGGCAAGCAGGCCGAGGAATGGGCTGACTGTCCCCACCTCCCATGGTGGGTCCTCGTTCTTTGCCAAAGACCCCCACGTGGCTCAGGGCTCTCTCCAGGGCTAGCTGGGCTTGCAACAGCCCCACCATGGCCAAAGTCCAAGGTCAGACAACTAAAAATCTGAAGTAGCCTCTTGTGAGCTGTTCCTGTTTGCAAAGCCAGGAGGGTGTGAGCTGAACAGAACAGGCTTGACCCCCAGCAATAGCTACCAGCAGGGAGAACTCGGACTCGGGTCTCGACTCGCTGTGTGGGGATGACGTTGATGGCGTGTGCGGAGTGTCAACTCTCTGTGTTCAGGGAAGGGCAGCCTCCTGCTCCACCTCTCACTCCTCTGCTTCATGAAATTCCAGAAAGATACAAAGTGAGAACTCAAGTTTTAAGAGTGGCCAGAAAATCCT